CTCTCTCTGTCCCAACAAGTTTGTGAGAGAACAATTCCATAACTATTTGTTAATTCTCGCCTCCGCAGAATCTGGGGCATTTGGTTCGCTTGCCGATGGGGTGTGGCGAACAGAATATGATTCTGTTTGTCCCCAATCTCCACGTAATTGGCTACCTCAACGCAACTGGGCGTTTAACCATAGGCATGCACACTGAAGCGCTGAAGAATTTGCAGAAAGGTAAGACTGCGTCTCAGCAAAGAGCTTTTATTAAGCGAAAAAAAAGTATTTTATTTGAGGGTAAAGCTCTGTATTTTTTTGAGCACTTGTGTGTTTTCTTGACAATAAATCTATAGTTAAAAACGTACATTGACTTTACTTTTCTTCAATTGCTTTCGACAAAACGAATGAGATCAATACAATAAAGATACCAGATGTAAATGAATGAATATAATGTCGTGTTTGCACAAGTTTTTTGAGTTAAATAAAAATTGTAATGATGAAAGGAAAATACTTTTCAAAGTTTATGAATGGATACGCTAGTGATATTAGTTAATTTGTGTAAAAACGAATGTTGATATTTTATTATTAATGTTGTTATTATTGTTATTTTAATTTGATTTACTTAAAAGGTTGCATTAATTTCTAGGACAATAATTATTATTGAGTTAAAAGCGCGTGATGTGCAGCAAATTGTCGGATATGCTTCCAGTTTCTCACACTTTAAGTGGACCTGGCATGAAACTCATACGTCGGTCTCCGCTTGGCACGAAAGCGCGCAATCTCACGCTTCATCCCGGGAAAGCACTGATGGAATGGAATGTAAACGCCGAAAGCGGGAGGGCGGGGTGGGGGCGAGAGCCTCACTCATAAATGACGTAACCCGCGCGCGAAGAGAGGAATCCCATTCGATCATTTGTAGAGCCGACGCGCGCTGCGATCGTTTCACTCGAAGATGAGGTCACGAGCATTCGGCGTCACTACGTCATCAACTCTGAAACTCGAGAAAAGGGCTGATTCATAAGCCTTCCCGCGACGACTATCAAAGAACGTTGCGTTTCCTCGCCAATGTGCTCTGCTTCTTGTTTCACTTCCCTACAAGTATACGAAGAGACTAAGTGCAAACCTGGATATTGTTTTTACAAGCCCACACGAAGTATACAAATGCCGGAGACACGTAAATTGCATTTATACAATGCCAAATATGTTGCTAATTCCTTTGACTCTTCTCTAGATGATCCCTGATCAATCAATTAACAGAGGATTACTCCAGTGCGCTCAACGTTCCTTATGGAGTTAGGAGACGCGTTGCGCCGATGTAGACGCAACAAATTTGAAAAAAGAATCTCGCCGAGGAGACTGGATTTTCAGGATCAAATCTACTTATCCTTCTTCGGAGAGAAAGTGTGGCAAATATCGTAGATTTGTAGAACCTGTAGGGTAAACGTTTATTAATCAAATGATCTACTGAATAAATATTACCGTTAATGTGCATAGCTGGCAAATTTTAAATGAAACAATTAGGTGAAGAGCCGGTTGTAAAACGTTCGTGGTTCTTTACATCACTAAGCAATCTGACTCGCGACAGAAATGTTTTAAATATGTTATTGTTTTTGCTGTAGTTTTGCTAATATATTCGTTTATTATATGCATCAATAAGTACATTAGCAATTAAAAAGAAGCAGTGAATACAATTTTTTAATTCAACTGCCAGAATCCAAAACCAAAGAGAAGCGAGTCTTCATATTGTTCAATATAGTTAAAAATAAATGATGTATTTGTATGAACAGTACATATATACGAACATATTTGCTGGCGTAGAGAACATAACCATTGCAAGGATATGACCGCCAAATGACAAGGGTGCGATTTGCACTTGCAATGATGATGGGTGACATGCCACAAAAAGAAAACATGTTCACACGCCTACGCAGTCTCCTTATTAGTAAGTGTCAAAAATGTAAGTTTTGTAAAACTACAAAGAGATATTTCACATTTAGGATAAATAATACACGATAAAATAAATTACATCACGTGGCGTTCAGAATCAGATACAGTTGAATAAATACGAAAAAATACTTTCGTTAATAATATTGGCTTATTTTATCGCAAAAGGTTATCGTCACGCAAGAATCAAAAAGTTATCGATCTTCTGGATTCATCACGAGTTCAAATCTACATCCATCAACTGCTCGTAGAAAATAAGAGCTTACAAATCAATGTTTTAAATTAATTCACAAATTACCGGGCTTCGGTAAAAAACGTCGTAGCAGTGACGTAAGCCGATCTTTCGAAAATTTTATTTTGTGATCATTACTATCTTCTGACCAACTTACGCCATCGCCAATTCCTCGGGAAATATTATAGTTGTACTTCGATTTTTCTATAGTGGCCGATGGCATTAGCTCATTGTTAGACCTCCTGCCTTATAAAATGATTCTTTTTAAATACGGGAAGCACATTTCTGAGAACACGAGCCCCGTTGAGAAGGACGTTCGCGAATTCATTGAAAATATTCATTTTATAAGGCAGGAGGTGTAACAATGACCTAATGGCGTTGGAAGCCCAGTGAGCGTTGCAAAGAAAGGAAGAAGTGTGGCGTGCGGTGCAGGCTACCAGCGGCAGCTCAACTACCGCCACGCGGACGGCTCCTACTCGGCGTTCGGTGAGCAGGACGGCGAGGGCTCGCTGTGGCTCACGGCTTTCGTGGTCCGCGCCTTCGCGCACGCGCGCCGCCACATCTTCGTGGACGAGCGCGACCTGGCCGCCAGCGTGCAATGGGTGCTGCGCCAGCAGCTGGAGAACGGCTGCTTCCCGCCCGTCGGACAGGTGTTCCACAAGGACATTCGGGTGAGGCAAACAAATCTATCTATATACATGAAACAAAGTCGGGATAGTTACAGCATTTATAACTCAAGAACGGCTGGAACACTTTTAATTTTCTCTGATTTGTTGGATTCATCTCCGCCACAATAGCATGAACTATTAAAGTATCGAAAGAATTCACTTGATGGCGCCGTACAACGGAACTAAATATTCATGCCAAATGTAACCAGCACCACACGGCAGAAGTTTTTGAATCCATTTCGTTAAATAACTTCTAAACGAAGCGTTCTAGGACATTAAAATCAAAACTTTTGAGGGCAAGGTCCTCAAAGAAACATTTATAACACCGTAATCTACAGGATGAGATCTTTTTGAACATTCTATTACATTTTCGCTGGGTGAGGGGAGGTGGAGAAGAAGAGAGACGAAGAGAAAGGGAGATGAAAGGCAGAAAAACGTCTCAAATTAATCCTAAGAAATGCAAACCGGTAACCTTCAGCGGGAAAGTGAGAAAATATCACTAAATTACACACTTGCAGATCAACCAGTGCGTGAAGCAATTGGGTCATTAACATGTACGTCCTGCTGGGGGCGAGGGGGCTCACCTACAATATTTTGTTCGCTAAAATACGTTTTCTGGTAATCTACAATGCATTGAGGTGACTGATTGAGCAGGTGAGGCGTGTATTCGAGATAGGTCGAATGAACTAAAGCAATAAGACAAAAATCTTTAATATAAAAAAGCTCCCAGATCACCTACAAATGTGTTTGAGTGGCCACATGTGATGTTGGCGAGCGGGTCAATCTTGAAATTGAGCTCCTACCCCTAGGATCTTTTGGGGACAAGTGGGCTCTCATACCGTGATTTTCGATGAAGTCTGATTTTTTGGCCATCTGCAATGCATCGAGGTATGATGGATTGCGGCGAAGGGGCGCCGGTGGTACGTGGTTTGTGACGGGTCAGAGTCAGGCAGGGCGTGGAGGGGGGGGGCATAGCCGTAAGGAGAGAAGTACGAAGTAGAGTGTGATGCCGATGAAATACGGTATCTTACATTTTACACTTAAAACAATTTACTTCCACTTTGTAGACATGATTTATTCATTTTCCTGACTTGCAGTTGATTGTGATAAGATATTCGGGAATCACCGGGTTAGTTGATCTGTTATTTAATTGTTGGATGTTGTGTTTTGTTGCATTTCATTCCATAATGAGAGTCGTGTTGGAATATTTAAATCGTAAGAAAAGAAATAAGCTGCAAGGGCGGATCTGGACTTTGAACTTGGAGGAGGAAGTACAATGTTCTCGTGATACAAAAGTATTGTACAATAAACCAATATTAGCCGAAAATTAAATTAATTTCATGTACGTTTAAATAATTTTTGTATACGCTTGTTTACTATATTCATACTTTCAGCCGCAAAAGGCTTGTGGGAATCACGTGATTTTATTTCACGTTTTTTTAGCAGATCAAAGGATTTTGGAACAACAAAGAAACATATTCGAAATAAACGTAGAGACAAAAATTATTCAAAAATGTAATTTTAATAATAATAATAATAATAATAATAATAATAATAATAATAATAATAATCGCATCGCCTATTTCGTGTACAAACAAATCAACGACATTCGCGTCTGTTTCAATGCGAAAGCAGTGAGGAAAGGTCAAGTAATATTTTTTAAACGTAGATATGACTTATTGTGAACTGATACATGTATGATGAAATTTCTGTTATAAATAGACTCTATTTTAATGAAAGGTTGTGATCCCATTTCTCAACTCTTGCCCTATATCTGTTGATCACACGCAGAATACTCGAAATGCTCTCTAGTGAGGAATCAGAGAACTTTATGAAGCATGATGGACACGAAGAACTTAGTGATTTGATTAGTTTTGTTTTATTTAGTTACTTCAGTGAGGCAGACATGTGATGTGTACATTGTTGAATTATAGGATTTGTGAATCTTCGTGCTTGTTTCAGTATATAAAGAAATATCCAGAAAAAATTGTAAATATAGTTATTCATTTCACTGTTGACCACTTCATAACTCATTTACAAACTAGGTGCACTAAGAATTGCATGGTCAAAGACCTTTCTGGGAGAAAAATCAGCAAGGCAAACAGTAATTCAAAGCGATTCGATATGTTAAAGAATATAAAATAGTGCACAACATAATATGTGCTGGAATTATAAGATGATGTAAGATTGTATATTATTGATTCACTCATGACCAGAACACGAGGTGTATGATGCAGTAATTAACCCTTATTCCCTTGCTCTGAATTTAAGTTTCTGTTTAAGCATTTTGAATTCACTTAATTTTTATGATATTCACAATATTAACTATTATTATTATTATTATTATTGTTGTTGTTGTTATTATTATTATTGTTATTGTTATTACATTTTTGAATAATTTTTGTATCTGCGTCTATTTTGAATATGCTTCTTCGTTTTTCCAAAATCCATTGATATGCGAAAAGAGAGTTAAATAAAATCAAGAATATTGATTCCCAAATGTCTTTCTTAGGTGAGATGGAGTTTCTCGATTGACACGTTAATATGTAAAAAAAAAAGTTAAAGTATTAAGTATTAAGAGATTTTCACTTCTTATCCGCTGTTTTTAAAGTGTTGTACTACGTTCTGAAACGAGAATGACGTGGCAGGACACGATATACAGTATGTGGTTATGATCGTTTAGATCAGCGGCCTTCTAACCGACGCCCGGGGGCCGCTCGCTTGCGGTCGGCTCAAACGTATACTCAGTTAATTGCTATATATCTCTTTGCTTCACTTATGACGTCTTGCAAACAAATAATATTTATAATTAAAAGTAAAAATAGAATTCTTTGAATATTATTTTTCTATTGATTTTTAGAATTAACGTTAGGAAAATGTCATGTGTCCCGCTATTGTTTCATCAAAAAAGAAAATCTATCTTCCGTTTAAAAGACTTTAGCCTTTCGACTACCAATCTAAACCAAATATTTAGGTTCTAAAAAACACAAGAAATCATGAATAACTCGAGAAGAGTCAGGTACTCTGAAACGGACAGGGAACTACACCGGAAGTCGCGGTTCCGAACGGGCTGGATGTTCTCAGACCAGAAAGGCGCGCCGGGTCGCAACGCATGTGGTTACGAGGTCCCGGAATGGATAACCATATTTGCCTTATTCCTTATTACTTTCCTCATTCCTTGCCGTATTAGATGAGAACGAGCGAAGTTTCCTTAAAAAGGATTTGTGTAAGTAAGAAAGCATAGAATCTGAACCATTCATAACAGTTTGTGTCGAAAGCAAAGCGAAAACGTTATTTTTCATTAAATGTATTGCTGGAACAGTCAACGAATGAAATAGTTTAAGCTATTGTAATATCTTGCCACTTGTTACACAGGGTTCTCGTTTCGCGAAGTTATGTAACAGATTTAGTAATGTTCTGTGTTTTAAAGCGTTTTTCAAGCTCCTCAGTAAGAAAACATTTTTCTTTTGTTTTTCGGAAACGTCAGATTGAGGAGAGGATATTTCTTTTTAGCTTGTCAAAAACACACTCAAGATGTTCTGTAGAAATTGAACAAATCTTTGATACACACTTTGGTCATATTTAATTTAAACAAATTAAAAATCAGCAAAGATATCAAGTTTTCAGGACAATTTTCAGGGGTCCGATAATATTTTTTTATCAATATTTTTTCGAAATTTTGTAGAAAGCTGTTTTACGGTGCTAGTACGAGTACGTTGTTTAGTTTCTCACTGAGACGTAAAGTCAGCTGCTTCCGTTACGTTTTGTTCAACAATTAAATTGCTTGGAATGCAGGCACGTGCCACAGAGCGTTTTCACATGGGAGAGGAATTTCTGAAAGCCCAGTTTTTTTAGAATACTGACACTCATGCTATTTTTTAATTCGATCATTATTTAATCAAGTATTGAATAGGTTATTAAATTATTAGGTGAATTGTTCTTTTATTCGAAGTTTTTAACCCAAACGAAAGCAAATTTATACAAATGAAATTGCGGCATAGACCCCAAATAATGAAACACTCGTAAATAAAATAATGTGTAACTTGAAGTAACATAAACTGTTAAAATGATACTTCTAATGCAGATTGCGTGATTAAGTGCTTTCATATTGAACACAGAAATAATAATCCCTTATATTAAATTGTCTTCATCCACGTTTCCTCTAATGTCTTCCCGCAGTGCCATTGCTTCTTAGTTTATTATCGAAACAAATATAAATTGATGGTACAATGCAATACGCATTCCTTTTCGTGAGCTCCGGAATACTTCATCTACTCCTATACTAACATGTCTTAAAAATAAATATTAGTGACGAGCGTTGACGAAATGTAATTACTAGAAATTATCGCTCCCTTGTACTAGTAGAAACTATTTTGCTTCAAAAAGCGAGCTACAGATTTGATATAATAGCCCCGTCGTCGAAAAAATCAACACCCACCCTCACGCATACCCCTCGTAACTAGCGAAATGAGAGCTCAAGAAGAAACCGTGCGCGAATAATACAAACTATAAGAGGTTCCTGCGAACACGGGAATTGTGGTGCTTTTATTTCTCGCCTATTGGCAACACACATTCATTACGAGCTTGGGAAATGGTCATTCCTCTGCAAACTTGATTTGGGAGGTTTTAGTTCATGAGAATATTTTATGTGGACAGGGAACGCAATTTTCTTTCAAGTGTAGATTTCCTTCATGAGACTCATTAAGTTCAAGATCTATTTGAGCCATTTTGGAGAAAAAATAGCGAAATCCAGAGCAGTTTTGTCTTAAGTTTCAGTGCTCTCAGTCGACCTACAAGAAAAGTCACTCTAGCCGCTAGAAATGGAAGACAACGACGGTGGCATGTGCCTTTTTTGCACAAGCTTTTTGCCACATTCAGAATCTCGAGGTTTTTAATGCTCCTAGTCGAAGATATGCACATTCTAATATTCAAATTTATAAAATAATAATAATAATAATAATAATAATAATAATAATAATAATAGATAATAATATGTTCTTTATTAATGGCGAGCTCCAGGCCATAGCCTGCTCTTCCGCCTAACCACTGAATTTACATTACATTTAAGAATAGTAAACATTTTAAGAGGATGACAAAGCTGTACATTTACGTCTGGGAGAACAAACCTAGGGACCATCCCGGCATACGCCTTAAGCGATTGAGAGTAAACCCAGAAAAAAACCTCAATCAGGATGGCGCTTAAGGGCCGACCCGCCCCCGAACATTAATGTACTGAGGTAATACTTGTACATAGTATTTGAAAAAGGAAGTTTCGTTAAAAAGAGAAAAAGAAGAAGAGTTCAGGAGGGGTCTAAAATAAAAAATGATAAAATTGTTGAGGGAAGACGGGTAAGAGAATAAAAGCGAAGAAAAGGACGAAGAAGAAGTAGGCGAAAAAAGTGAAGTTATTTGGAGGAACGTGAGAGAAAGGCTACGTTTAGTTTACGGTAGCTTTTACATAATATTACAATAATTTAACACCAAAGAAGCACAATACACTGTAAGCAAATAACAACAGTAATTTTAAACCACAAAATACTGGCAGTACAAGAGAACAATACAAAGAGTGCTGGTATCTTAACATCAATTTTGTTTTATGCCAATATATTGTGAGTAAATATCCTGATTGCGTACAAAGATAGCTACAAGTATATTGTATCTGGAACGGTCACTAATACTTTAGATTATTTTAAAAAACAATTTCATTATGGTACACAGAAAAGTAATGATGCTCATAATTTAGATGATGAGAGGGAATGAAAGATGAGGATAAGCAATGAAGGCATGGGTGAATAGTGAGGAATAAAGAGGGGAAATAGAGGTTTTAACGGGGGCGTGACCGGGCGCTTGGAAGTGGGAAAAGTCTGGGAGATTGAAGAAGACGTTGACGCCGTTTCTAGATGCCGTTATTCCTTACCCAGTGTTAATTCAGCTTTGAATTTTTTCGAAAGTGTTTAAATGCTTTAGTCTCGCTGAGTGATTTATTCCAGGCTCGGAAGCTGTAAGGGTGAAGATTTACTGAATGAAGTCGTGTTGTGACGTGGGTACACAAACAGGGCTAGTCACGAGCTCGATTTAGTTTCAGAAGGTTTGAAGTTACTTATGAGCGTCGTTGCATGAGAGAAACCGAGTTAAAAATTTATAAAGAAGAAAGTAGGAGTTTGTAGTAAACCGTTTCTTTTTGTCGAGAGTAAGCAGACGAATTCTGTCAAAAAATTCGATACATGGTTACTATTTCCGTAGATCAAAAAATAAAAGTACGCATGCGTTCTGGCGCTACTTGGTAGTTACGGTTTTTGTAATTTGAATGTCATGTTGTCTCAGAAAGAAAGTCGCATAGTGCGAAAGTTGTGGCCATGATAAGTGGGCAATGATAATATAAGTGATTTCATGAGATCTCAACCCGTGTGGCTACTCTGGTTATATTTAAAAATTAAAAATGCTCGCAGGCGTTCACAAACGTGAGTTTGCATTGAAGCAAAACACTTTACGGCATGGTTGGAAGTTCTACTGTGCTTGAGTTCCAGCTGAGAGAAACAGAGTTTGTCGATAAGCTACACCTAAAGTTCTTGACTGTCAGAAACACCAGTATAAAATGTTTCATATATAAATATTTAGGCAGCAAAGAGAAGATGAGATTTTATTCATTATGTTGCCATTTCGAGCTGATTAACCATGCACTGTGATTTGTTTGGGTTAATTGTAAGCCTAAAGACGCTGCCCAGTTGTTCTAACCGCTTATTAAATCTTCATTAATTTTGTACGATGTGAACGAGTGAGTTGATGTGAGAAACGGTGTGAACACTTAGATATATCTGAGATCATCCGCATACATTTGGTGACTCAATATTTAAAGTGCATTTCCCACGATACTAATAACGATATATTAGAAGGCCAGTCTGTGCCCTACACAGTTTGCCCATTGACAACTCCGCGTGTTAAGCTTCAAAAATCAGTCCCTTGAGCTACGGCTACCGACACACTCTTGGTTCAAGAAGGTTAAAATAATTAAGAAACCAATTTAACACGGTGTGGCTGTGCAAATCCCATGATCTTTAGTTTGGCCGAGTCAGATGTCGTGATCTAACTGAGAATTGGAATGCTTTGACTGAAATCCAGAAGAATCAAAATAGTATATTACTGTTTAATCTATTTGCTGTTCTTCGCGCCTCTTCAATGACGTTTAGTAGCGCGCTGTTCCTGTATCTGCGCGGAACGGAAACCTGATTGCCTATCGTTTTAAAGTGATTTTTGTTCGAAGATACTGTTCAGTTTGTTCCGGAACGCACTTTTCGAGTACGTTTAGAGAAGTTGGGAGGATGCTAATTGGCGCGTATTCCGAATAGGGCGTTTTTTGTTGATCTGTCTGGGAATAGGAATGCACGAGCCGCAGTCTTCCAGGATAAGGGATATTGCCCGCTCTATTAGTGAGAAATTTACGATTTCGGTATAATTGGGGACGTCACACATCTTAAGCTTTTTTGTAGCAGCTTTGGCATTTATACCATCGGAACCCTGAAAGCATTTTTATTGGAGACTTTGAACGATTTGTGATTATATCTGATGTTAACGGCACGGAAAAGAAAAAATTTACTCGTTGGATTTAATTTCTGCTGTTTTGGAGAAACAAAAGAGATTTGCCTTTTCAAGTTACTGTCAAATGAAGGAACGCTGTTTAAGAAACTGTGATTTAGTGATTCTAAGGGTAATTCGCTTCAATTGGGAAGGACCTTTTGCTATTCCTAAGATTTTTTCAAATTTTTTCCAGATCGTTCTCGAGTCGCTGTTTCTGCGAAGGTGGGTGATTGGATGGATGTCGAGTCATGTGGTTTCATGATGAACTCTAGTTGTTAGCATTGTCCTTTCGTCGAGTGTAGACACTGTCCGAACCGTATCAACGTCGGCATGCCACTGCTCGATTTATCTGAGACAACGGATGAGGGGAGGCCGCCAGCCTGCCGAGACCGTGTACACCAGACAGACAATAATTAGAAGACCCTATGCTTGATTATATGTTAGTAAAAGATTTTGAGGGGGAAGGGGGTGGGGGTGGGTGTGGGGCGGGGCGGGGGGGGGGTGGGGGGGGGGGGGAGAAAAAAAGAAGGGGGAAAGTAGAAAGAAAAGGAGTAAGTGGTAAGGAAAAGAAATAAGAGGCTTAAGTTCATGTATTAATGCTCTTTACATCTGCCGGGAGTAAAAGGAAAAAAAAAAAAACGAGTGAGGTATGGTTAGAGCGGTTTCGAGTCGTTTAATATGGTTTGCTAATTACTGTTTCCGTTTCAAAATATTTGATATGTTTAGAGCCGTTGCGGGGAGTTGATTTGTGGAAAACCGGAAAATTCTTTCCTTCGGGCAGGGCGAACTTCTGACCATCCTTGATCGTAGAAGAAGGACAAGTAATATGCGTAAAATTCTAAATCTATGATGACATCTCCAAAATTTTGTACTATTATTTGCCCATTAATAGTATATACGCATTTAGTTTTCCGGAAAAAAATTTGCGATAGGGCTCCCAAACGCTGCCGATCACGATCTTTCATTAAATGATCGCAATGCTCAGGCAGCCAGTTTAACCATCGATTGCAGTATACTCAGATCCAAAAAAAAGAGGAAAACATGGAGCCGAACGCAGTTACAGCGCCAACGAAATTTTTAATCAGGCGCCATGCCGTCCCAGGTCGTAGAGCCTGTTGTTATTAACGTTAAGTTCTTTGAAAAATATATTAACTTCTATCAGTCCAGCAATTCTTCTTCGTGTACAAGGCGCGCATGGAAGTATGTGCCCAATCCATTCTATAATTAACATGCTTGTGCTTATCAAATTTTTGGAAATATCGCCCGGTGAGTCCGGAAGGGACATGTTAATTGTTATAGGATTTATTGGGGGCGCGGTATTGATTATGGAGTGGAGTATTCATGTACCTACACCTCGCCGTCACCTTTACTTGTTGATTTATCAACATTGAGGAATTCAATCACATACGAGAGGTGCAAGGAAAAAAAAGTTAATTGAGATTATAGGTGCCTCCTATTAAAGTTGTTGCTACTGATCAACACCAACAAGATGTATAACATAATCTAGGATCGTTGGGTTATAAAATCACCAAAGAGGGAACTTGGACAAACATAATTGCGTCCACTCGTGCACGAGTGTTTTCGATAATCCTATTTTGCTTTTATCATTACTGTATCACTCTAGAACAGATACTATATGATCGATCGCGAAGTTTCTGTGTTATTCTATATTATGAATACACATTGGATCTTGAATAAATATTTCAGTTGATCTAGGATAACCTAGAGTAAAGTAAAATTGCCTTTCTATTTAGCCGTAATCATGAATGACATAAAAACTAATTATGTAATTTTTGAAAAGCTGGTTAGTAAGTACATTTCAGCTATCTGCTTCCCAGAAGGACAATACGTCCAAAAACTCAATAAATGAATATGCAAAGCTAGCAAAAGGCATAGTGCAACATAAAAGATTGTATTTCGATGTTAGCTAGTTAGTTCTCTAAGGCCTGCTCAAAGACCAATGATAAATCCGGCTCTTTTTATATATACGGTGTTTGCTATATTAAAAAGTTATGGAAAATCCTTTTAGGAAAACTAAACGATAATTATTACAAAAATACAAGGAACAATCAGCAAACCAAAAAGACGTGGCTTTCCTGAATTCCAGAAACATAGATAGAGTGGAA